TCTTAAGAGGTTCACCTTAGTCTTCGCTACTGCAAGTTTGACGGAGTAACGTAGCAAACCATCCAGCTCCTTCACCGTCCGTGGGTCCTTGCAACGTTTAAGTAACTTGAAAATCCCCATTCAGTCATATAAAAGAAAATAAAGCGTTCAGAGAAGAGACTCTTTTCGGCGAAATAATTTTAATGTTTTTCCATGCAAATGGTAGAACGTTACCGGGAAAAAAATCATTAAAAATGTTAGTAAGAGGATAACACAAAATATTAGCACAATTCCTGCGGACAATGGCAGGTATGCCGTCAGGACCAAGGCTTTGAGAAGGCTTAAGAGACCAGAGACATGAAGGCACATCAAGGGTATTAAAACCACTAAAATTATTGTCAATATGATTTGTATCATTTGGAAGGGTATCAACAGAAGAGCGTATGAAAGATTTATTCAGAATGTTGACATTAAGAGATGGGACAGAAATACATCGCTTACCGTTAGTAATTTCTTTGAAAATTTTCCACAAATTAGAAGGGATTTAACATGACAAAAATCTTTGATTATATAAAACATTTAATCTTTTCATTTCCAGTTTCATCAGAATGTTTAACTTTTTACACCAGGCTTATCATTTGTTTTGAACAACATTTCTTTGTCTCTACGTAGCTTTTTGAGACATGGGGAAGATAAGCGATCAAATCGAATGAATAATGTTTCTTTAGGACAACATATTTCGAAACAGAATTTAAGATAATCAGTAGTGTTTGTGATTGTGTCATCTAAAGTTTGTTCTGTAAATAAGTCCAAGTTGGTGTCTTTCGACATGCATCTGAGCTTGTCTAGGTTGTCTTTTGAGTAGCATCTCCGTTGAACTTTAGTGTAGAGGTGAGAGAGGACACCTTTGTGTGATTTGGAATATATTTTAGGCAGTACACGTATGATACAGTGGTCAGAGTTAAGTAAAGGAGCACGTTTGCGAGCTTCATATATACCAACATCATTGATCAATACTAGATCCAGTTTTGTACCAAGACGGGTGGCAAAGTTAACAATATTGTCATGATCAAGTGATACAAGGAAGAAGCAACGCTTCCATTGAAGTCGCCAGTTATTATTGATTAAGAGTCCTCGAAACAAGCTGCAGCAAAAGCGGTGAATTCATCGGCGAACATAGATAAATCCGATATGGTACAGCCAGGAGAGACATAAACATTAGAAATATAAATGAATTTGTATTTTGACAGGTGTTTCGGGCGACATCTCACAGGGATGCAGTCAATTTAGTCATTCGAGAATTTGAAACAAACTTTGTTAGAAATGGACCATTTTGAGTGAATAAAAGTTGCAACACCTCCGCCACATTTTTTCTTGGAACAAACACTGTCTTGTCGGAAAACATTAAAACTGTTTAGAGACACAATATTGTCATCGTATGAGTCATGGAGCCAGGTTTCTTGTAGAGTGACAATACCCGTATTGTGGTAGATTCCGGACGACAACAGGGATCGAAAATCCAGAGTTTTATTAGGCAGGGACCGGCAGTTGGTACTAATGATAACTGGAACAGTGGTGTGATGTATGGGTGTAGATTTTAAGGCACGTTGCCAACCTCCATGGTGCTTTTTCTTGAGTTTATTGCAGACATGAAAGTTTTTGGGTTTAAAACATTTCATAAAATCTCGGGAGTGAATAATAATAATAATAATAATAATACGATTAGAATGCATAATATGATAGGTAAACACCGATAAAATATCAGTAAATAGATGCAAAAATGTACATGGAATACTTTTAATACTTGTTCATAGACCTTAGTTGTAAAGTTGGCTTTATGTTGGTGTTAGAATAAATAATTCTCTAATCGCCAAACTGGGTTCTGGTTTTCGCGTCCGTTCGTACTAAGCGTTTCTGAGAAGCTTCGAGGAACAGCGTGAGTCTTAGCGTAGCAAGAGCTGGCCATTAACGGTTTACGAGACGAGACTGACAGTATGTCAGTGTGCATTTATCTGTTGCCTGTACCAAAAACCAGTAGTTTACACAGACAAACCATGATTGACGTAAATCACATGCATATTACATCTACATTTTGACTCAGGTTATTTAAAAAAATTATGAAAGCTGTCAGTAAAATTTCGTCTGCATGCTTTGCACTAATCAGAATCTTAAGAGTTGGTGAAAGATATTCTGAAACGGTGAATTCGGTTAATGTTACTTTGATTAACACATCTACAGTGGCATAAGGTGGAAGTGACAGCTGTTGACACCCTGACTGACTTGCTGATTTCAACATAAACCTTTGCATCGATATGTGCCAGCTGGAATCACCACACGTCCTCCATGTAGCACACAAAGCAAGAGAAGAAAGTAAAAAGAAATGCAAAACAGATACAGTAAACACAGATAAGAGGCAAAAGGTATAGTGATAATGTAGAAGAATACTACACGTTTATTGGAAATTATGAGTCACAAGGAGTTAATGGATCTGCGCCAACCATTGACAATGAAGATTTTCAGCCATATCAGCAATTGTCTGCTGCCCACATCGGTGTTTAGCGTCCTGAGGATTCCATCTAGGAAGTTTACACTTTCCTGCCTGACTTAAAATAACTGTTGTGGAATTCACTGACTGGTGTCATGTTTTAGATTGACCATCACTGGCTCTTTTCCAATCTGACCATATGTCAGCTAACACTGACACCCACGGTGGATGGTATTGATTGCTGTCGTTTGAAAACCACAATCTCAAACAAGCTTTGAGATATTTGCATTAGTTGAAATAGACTGTGCTAATTAGTATAATATCCTAATTACCACACCATTCCTACTTCAACATTGTCATAGCTCATCCCAACCAAGCCAGTTGAATGTAGCCTACAAGACAGTAAAGACGCTTTCGGTGAGTGTGATCCCAGTGGTTGAATGGTCTGTGAGCTTTGCTTGTAAAACAGAGATAGCGGGTTCCAACTCTGGTTGTCGGCGTGCATTGCAGATGTTTCCGAAACTAGGGTGAGCCTGCTCTGCATTAAGTTTGGCTTTTCAGTAAATTTCTTGATAGAACTTGAAACATATCAAGTGTCTTCAAGCAAACTCTCGAAATGAATGATTATGTTGAAAGCATCTAATTTTTGTGTTTCATACCAATATTGCTCGAAGGTGGGAAAATATGATCTATGCGCTTGTGCTTCGACCTGAAGTCTGCCTGATGTTCTCGGATATATGTCCACTGAATCACAATAGTTTTCCACAGATGTTTGAAGCATTCAACTTTCCAATTAGGATTCATCCTAATTCATCTTCCTCGAAACCGCAGTAGTCCATAATATACTGCAGTATAGTGGGACTGTTTTGGATCCACCTATGCTTGTTAATACTACTGTGTAATTCGCTCAGCTACACTTAAATACTTCTGCATTCATATCATCAGGTTTAACGAGTATTCTACATTGTGGATACTCATTCCATTTATTTACACTTCATGACTTATGAATAATGGCAACATCTTTCAAAGTGTTTTGTTCACATTATGGAGCCCATCTCACAAAAATAAACATCACTGTTGCTGAAACTTAAAGCATGTAGCTTGAAGCCTTATGTTCCACTGAGATCCTAAAAATATATACGAGATACACTGCACTGATAACAAGTTACATAGCTCAATCTCACACTAATATCCTGACGTACTGTTTGTTCCGAAACTCAATATACACAAACTGAATTAGTCTGTTTATACACTGAACAACCCAGACAGACTAACCTAGTCTAGCCACAGGTGAACCTGGGCCATTTCCCTGGTAATTGAGACACGCAACCTCTCACAAATTCAATATATTCTCAATAAAGTGACAATACGGATGCAGTATAAGTAGGTTCCTTGTGATGATTAACAACTGAAAACATCTTGGAATGTATTTCCACGACTGACTATATTAAAAGTGTCCTCTGTTTCAAACGTTATCTGAACAAAATACATGAATAAATAGTGTATTTCTAAGACGCCAGTGTGCACAAATGAGAAGTAAAAACCTATTCAACTTGATGTCGATATATCGGTATCCCAGTAAATGACGCTAAATAAAGCAGATATCAGGACGTAATTAGCCTGAATGGTAGTGAGTGAATAGAATATACCACAAACTCGTAACGACGTGAATTGTGTAAAATCCATGCCTTCAACAAATTCCAGCTGTGTGAGAAGGGATTAATTTATAGTCGCAGTCGCTTTCCATTTTATATACTCAATATTGGATAACTCTTATATTATATAAGGGATTAAAGACTTATTGGTTCAACACGTAGTCAAATGCAAAAGCTGTCCGCTGACTGTAACATGAGGATTCCATAGGGACTGACGTTCTTCTCGATCCGTTCAGTTATCTGTTGTTTCCTCACATTGTTTTATCAAATTCAATCGTGAAGTATTGCATATAAACGTTATCAAACAGCTAAATAAAATGAAATCTCTGGGAGTAGGATCCTTGCTGAACTACTTTTTTCAGTCTCCTCATTATTCTTTGGATGGGGATTATTCATATTATTATCCACACACAATTTCAGTAAAATATTTTTACAAATATTTATCCAATTCCTAAAACGATGCATTGCACACTGTGTGAGGGATACGGCAGTAAAATGTAACCATTTGTCAGTGTTCAGATTTTTTATTGAACTTAAAGATGCGAAAATGTACGGAAGCAAGGTGAAGCAAGGTGCTCGAAGACAACTAGACTGGAGCAGAGGATAAGATTCCCTCAGATAAGGAAGGTGTTATTGACCCATGGACCACGGATTAATCTCTAAGCATGATCAGTTGATTCGGTTTATTTCGATATTGAGTGTTCACAGTGAGTCCTTAATGATAGCAATGCATTATACAATTCACAAACAAACAATCACACGACAAACACTTAACTCCGCATTGTACGCGTCAACAACAATGACACAAAACAGCGGAAGCAGCTTCAGACTTATCTAAAGGTAGGAAGGATCTGAGATGGTTGAAAAAGACAGAGTAATAAATCCGAATTTATTTATCATTCATTTATTGAGTATTTGTATATGCGACTGTGTCTAGTAAACAAATCACTCAATTTCCTCCATACAACACATCTAAGCCTTCTTTGTCTTCGCCTCCTTCGCCTCCTTGATATCCTTCTTCAAACTTTGAATCTTCTTACCCACCTTCTTCAGATCAGGACGTTTGCAGACACTGGAAGTGAAGAATTTCACAATTTACGAGAAATGTTAATTTGTGCACTGAAAAGAGCTAATGAAATATACAAATTCATCTATCGATATATAAATATATATATGTATTGAGAAATCAAAAGAAGAGTGGGTAATACATTACGCTAGTCAAACTGTTACTACGTAATCTACTGTGTTAATATATGCTGCACATGAATATTCCAGTAGAGAGGCTTACTGTCGGTCACTCTGGTAGAAAATCACATGTGATTGAAATGGATCCTTGACTTTCTAGTCCTCACACTGAAATGCTTATTTCAGCGTACGAGCAATATTTGTTAAGCGTTGATATTCCCACAAAATATGATCATACAAAATGATCCTCTCAATAATCTGGAATGATACCGTTGGCTGTGTGCAGTGTCACTGCAATTTGTCAAAATCAGAATGCAGACAATAAATAAGCATGCCATTGGCTGATTAGGTTGGGCTCATGATTATATTTTCAGCCAGGCGAGGAAGAATGTATATTTTCAAGACGTCACAAAAGTAACGGAGAACATAGCTGTGAAGAGAATGTACGCGAAGTGGAGCATTTCAGCTCGAATCAGGTTTGTGCTTCAATAAACAGAGAAACAAGCTATGCAATCATCTTTCAGCAGCCACATCAAAAAAACGTACGTGTCCACCTGTCGAGATCCCTTCTTCGAAGACAACTCCGCAGTAGTCGGTTTCGACAGATCGAAGGTTGTCACACACAGACCAGACCCCACCTTGACAACTCCCTTCTCGTTCTTCCCCACTGTCAGTCCTCCATACTTGATATTCCAAGATCCTGAAAGTGAAATAGCAATAGCCAACCATCATGAGCAATGTAAAGTGATTCAACTAAACATACGCATCAGTGGTATAGTGGTTAGGACTCTCGCCAAGCACGCACATGGTCTAGGGTTGGATCCCCTGCCAGCGCACACCTGATATCTATAGCTGGCCTGCGATATTTGGGCTGCCAATATGACATGCTGAAAATTTCATACTTCTACCGAAAATTACTGTGTGGAATCAAGCTGTAATGAAAAAAACGTCTACTGAAATGATGCTCACTTTCATAGGTAGTCAACAGTAATTGGTCAGTGTTTACCTATAAATTCCAGTCGATTCACCTGAAAATGCATGGAAATAAGTGTCATCCAAGTCATTATTCTATTTGTACTTCGTATGTAAATTAAGGCAACAACTGCTGTTTTTCCCTACTGTTAGTTAAGCCTATTTTCCTCCACTTATAACTGAATTCGGAATGTAATAACTAGTGGCTGATAGACTATCGAATGTCCAGTTGCGGAAATGATGTGTACATAGATGTTTGTCTTTCCGAAGAATACCTCTATTATCTCTTAAAATACTCTCAGTCAGTCGCAGTCAGAATGAAGTGAAAGTGGGATATACAGACATGCGTGACATCGAAATCCTGTATTTCATTATCACAGTTGTTCAGTGTTTATCTCGTTCCTGTAAATATGAATTTGAGGTTACCTGATCGACTGAATCTGTAGGCAGGTCTCCTATCACTCAATTTCATCACCAAACACACTCAGCGAGAAACATCAGGAGATAGATAAACAGTAGTTATAATGAAGCTACAGTATTTGTTGCGTCATACCAATCTGTTATATTGAGTGACTCTGTTTATTGGTTTGTGTATTTGGATATGGATAAGCTTGACACAAACAGTTTAGTAGGAAGTAAATAATATTCTAAGTGACTTCGAGGCGTGACTCACCATCTGCATCGATATGTAATGGAAGTTTCTCAGATTTCTTATAAGGCTTCATTTCGACGAGGTTTGGAAGAAGGACGCAAGCAATGATGATGCAGAACATAGAAATATGTGCCATTGTTGTGAGTCTGAAATAAACAGATATGAATTGAATCGAGGAAAATTGAGTATATTAAAAATTAAAATAAAGCAACATTGTGCGTCGGTGGCACAGTGGTTAGCACGCTCGCCAGCCATGCATATGGTCCTGGGTTCGATTCCCGGCCGACGCACTCCTTTACCTCTCTATGCCAGAAATATTGCTGCTAAAGAGGAAAGTTTGGGCATGGTGCTAGCAACCCCATCCTGTAAAAATAAACACTGCTACAGAAACTTCAAGCCTCTAGCCTGAAGCCCTATATTCCACTGGGAACGTGAAGGAAAAATTATTATTATTATTCACTGAAAATGCTTGGAGTATGTATAGCTTCAAACACAGATAAGTAGAATAGTCTATGTGTAGACCTTTTTTGCTATAGTAGAACGTAATTTGGCACTAGATTATGAGTAATAATAGATTATCAGCAATAATTCATGTTTGAAACATTATCCATTAAAACTACATTACTGTGAGATATTTGAAGTAGACAAGCAGACACCATATCGCTTCAAATTCAATCTTGAATCTACAACGCAACAAGATTTTTGAGTTGATTGGATAAGCTGTCTAAAGCTATGCTATGTGGATGATAGTCTCAAAGATCAACCAGCTAATTTAAACAGTCGGTGACTTGTTGGACACAGATGTGGGAACTTACAAGTTCTTAGTAGCTTACTAGTGAGTTGAGTAGTGTTCTACACACATATTTATATATGCGTGCAAGTGTCAAAATAACTGTTCAGTGATCAGTTTTACCACAATAATCGATGTCGTCTGCCAGCAAATTGTCACAAACTTGTTCAAATCTTATGATCTCAGATCATTAATTAAGATTGATTGACCCGGATGAAATCCTAACCGCCTGAAATTGACGACAGTTGGATTATCTATGTTGTTAATTTCACTTTATTTGACTGATGCGTTGGTTCTTTGTGATGGAGGTTTCTTCTGCGAAGCAATAATTCTCTCCATAAACCACATCTTTGAAGGTGAAGTCAGCATGTAGTTTGTGTGGTTTTCTGAATACTTGATTGAATTTGTCCCCGCTTCTTTTTTTCAGGTTGCCCTGCTTGCTTGTTTTTTGTTGCATTCAACCAAATAATCATTAAGTGTGGTATGTCAGTGTGCATTTATTTGTCGCCTGTATCAAAAACTAAAAGTTGACACAGACAAGTGATGATTGACGTAAATTGCATAAATAAGATACCTACATTTTCACTCAGGTTATTTAGAAAACTACGAAAGATATCAGAAAATTTCGTCCATGTGCTCTGCACCAAAAAGACTCTTATAGTGTGGTGAGTGATTCTATGAAACATTTTGATAAGAGCATCTATAGTGGAATTAAGTAGAAGTGGCAGCATTTGACGGTTTGCCTGACTGACTTACTGATTTCAGCAGAGAACTTTGCATCAATATTCAGCAGTTCGAGTAGCCACACATCACCCACCATACAAAGCAAGACAAGAAAGTAAACGATAATGCAAAATAGAAACAGTAAACAGAGATATGAGTGAAAAAGAATATTAGTAATGTAGAAGAATACTACACGTTTATTGGAAATTATGAGTCACAAGGAGTGAATGGATCTGCGCCAACCATTGACAATGAAAATTTTCAGCCATATCAGCAATTGTCCGCTGCCTACATTGGTGTTTACCGTCCTGAGGATTCCATCCAGGAAGTTTACACTTTCCTGCATGACTTAAAATAACTGTTGTGGAATTCACTGACTGGTGTCATGTTTTGGATTGACCATCACTGGCTCTTTTCCAATCTGACCATATGTCAGCTAACACTGACACCCACGGTGGATGGTATTGATTGTTGTCGTTTGAAAACCGCAATCTCAAACAAGCTTTAAGATATTTGCATTACTTGAAATAGACTGTGCTAATTAGTATAATATGCCTAATTACCACACCCTTTTTAATTCTGCCATGTCATAGTTTCTCACAATCGAGCCAGTCGAATGTATCCTACAAGTCAGGAAAGAAGCTGTCAGTGAGTTTGACCCTAGTGGTTGAATGGTCTATGAGCTTGTCTTGTAAAACTGAGGTCGTGGTTTCAAACCCTGGTTGTTGGTGTGTACCGCAGATATGTCCAAAGCTAGGGCAAAACAACTCTCCACTAAGTCTTTTTTTCAGTGAAATTGTAGCTGGTATAAATTTGTGATAAAACTTGAAACAAATCAAGTCTCTGCAAACAGACTGTGGGAAAGACTAGGAACGTTGAAGGCATCTGATCATGTGTTTTATACCAATATTACTCGATGGCGTAAAATATGATCAATGCATCGACGCGTTTACCTAAAGGCTACCTGGTTTTCTCGGATATGTGTCCACTGAGTCGCAATTAGTTTTTACAGAAGTGCAGCATTTCACTGTCCAGTAGGTGTCATCCGACTTACGTGACATCGCAATAGTCCATAATACACAGTTGTCTAGTGCAACTGTTTTGGGTCAACCGATCCTAGTTTATACTACTGGTAATTTGCTCAGCTATTCAATGCTTCTGATACTACACTGAAATACCTCTGCATTCATATCATCAGGTTTGACGGGTATTCTCTATTGTCATGACTCATTCCATTTATTTAGACTTAATGACTTATGAATAACCATGATTTCTTTTAAAGAGTTTCGATCACCCAGTGCTTCCTGTCATGCATGCAGCTTATCGGTATTAGTCCAAAGTCAACTGTGGTAATCCACTGAGGATTTATTTTATTCTTTAACAGCTGTTTAATAACTCTCATCTGTTACTCACCCATTGATTCTCCATTGGCGTTTCATCTATTCGTGTCTATGCTTAGCTTGATTCAGATGATTTCAAGTGAGACAATGTCTGATTTTATTTTCGAAATGTATGGTGACCAGGAACAGATCATCATACACCAAAATCAACTGTTGAGTCATGAAGAAAATAAAACTCAACGAAGAAAATTTCCTTTATCCCCTAATTCATCTTCTTCAGTGGCCGTACAGTCGTATCTTTATTAACCAAAAGTGTACAATAACTGTGTTTCAGCGGTTTAAGTTTCTGGCAAAGATTACAAGTTTACAACAACATAGTGAACATGCATACGAACCCTATTTACAACAGAATGAAACTAAAATGTTGGCTATTCGAAAACGGTCAACACAACTGATTCAAAGATGGATATAGATTAAAATATAGACATTAGCGGAAGCAAACAAAGTCACAAGTAAATCCAAGGGAACTGTAGCACTAGGTGACAGTGGCTCGAATACCAGAGCGGAGGTGTACGCCATCTATAACGCAGATAAGTGCTGCGTATGACTCCCAACCAAATGCAACCTGTGGGTCCACAGTTGACTGGAAAATGCTTATATCCATGTAATATGTTTAAGTAGTTCTTGTCCTGTAAATAAATAAATATATATATATATGAGATACATCGTACTGATAAGAAGTAACATAGCTCAATCTCACACTAATATCCTGACGTACTGTTTGCCCTGAAAATCGATATACACAAACTGAATTAGTCTGTTTATACAATGAGCAACACAGCGGACTAACCTAGTCTAACTAGGAATTGAGACACGCAACCTCTCACAAATTCAATATACTCTCAATAAAGTGACAATACGGATGCAGTATAAGTAGGTTCTTTGTGATGATTAACAACTGAAAACATCTTGGAATGTATTTCCACGACTGACTATATTAAACGTGTCCTCTGTTTCATACATGGATAAAATGGGGTACTTCTAAGATACCAATGTATATATATATTCAAAGTACAAACGTATTCAACTCGATCTTGACCTTTGATTATCACAGTTATCAACAATGAATGGAGCATATATTAGTAGATAATTAGCCCAAATAGAAGCCAGACAGTGAGTAAATATAAAGTATCGCAATTGTGTAACAAGGTGAATTCTGAAAAACCCGTGTCTTTAACGCATTAAGGCTTACTTTACTTACAGCCACAGTCACTTTCCATTTTGAAATACTCAGTATCCATGTTTCGTTTTATATAAATCTACTAAGATATCGTGTTTGGATGACTACAATGTAGATGATTCCGATTTCATTTACAAAGTAATCATCCGTACACATCCTTTTTGCTCCATTCGTGAAGAATCTGACTGAATTATTTCCATATAGGATGGGTACAAGTCTGAGAAAATTGTGTAGATTTTCACACACAGTAACTTCTTCGATGAACAGCTAACTTTAGTGAACCATCACAATTTCAGTGCACTGGTTGTAGGCATCCAACTTGTTCCTTTTTCTCTCCCTCGAAGTTGGAATTTGAAAAGTATAGGACTGGATGTTACAGTAATCCCAGTTTATGGGTTTTGGCACAAATACACAGCATTTTTGTGTAACTTCTAGTAGGCTTGTGAGGGTTGCAGACTGTCTCATAGATAATCACATCATTCCTCGAATTATATAGGAGTGTTCGTCCGACACTCTCCAGCATAACTTTCTAGTTCTCTTCGATAGTGCAGCTTCTGGAACTTTCTTCAATCACTGATTAGTGTAGTTTGAGAACTACAGTAATCGACAGATGTTAAGTGTATGAGAACACCAGAATATTGATTTAGAAAACTGGAACATTTGCTTCTGTTATTTAACAGCAATCTTTAACTTAAATTCGCAGACCTCCATCTCTTCCAGATCTATGATGGGACCATAAGAAGTCTACGTGGTGCATTATAAGCTGACAAATATGTATATATATACGTATATTTATATATATAGTAATATCACTGTTTATGTTTCGAAGGTTCTATCGAGGAATTTGTTGCAATTAGCCAGCGTCATTTCGTTCAGACATTACTCCACTTTCAAATAAATGTAATCCTTTAAACTTCCTGCATCATGTGGACACTGTATAACCTTCAATGCCCCATATTTCATGCTCTCCTATACCAGATTCACTATTCAATCGAACCAAGTTGACGTTTACATCACAATGGTCACTTAGGTAATTTAATATTCCATTTATACAAAATAAATGCACATAAACTCATGAAATTAAAAGAATACATGTCTTTATATAGAAACTTTATACGTGGATCTTTTTTTATTCCCTCAAGTTCCCTTCACGTTCAAGCTAGAGGCTTGAAGTTTCTGTGGCACTGGTGGTTATTTTTTACTGAATGGGATTGCTAAAGCCATGCCCAAACTGTCCTGTTTACCAGCTTTATTACTGGTTTGGAGAGGTGAAGTAGTGCATTGGCCGGGGATCAAACCTCGGACCTTGTGTATGGTCTGCGAGTGTCCTAACCGCTGTGGCACGGATGCATTTCCTGGCTATTTAAATAGATAAAAGTCATGTGTTTAGGCAATAATGTACTAAAGGAATGAAACCGTATGTGCCATTCGTTCATGGGTATGTAGGTCAACATTCAACTAATGAAGTAATAAAATTGTTATCTGCATAATACATCTGACTATACATAGATGCAAATTCGTGAACATAGTGACACGGTTAACTTAGAATTCGTTTTGTTTGTGCACAAATGCTTGGCCGCATAGTATGTTTCACTGAGTGTCATTCTACGTCTGTGTTTGGCGACTATATTAATCACTGTTGAATGGTGACATTATTTAGGCACATATTTTGGAAGCTTCTAAAATATTCTCGAAAGAATGGATACTGAACAAAAAATACTCTTCGATAAATTCATCATCAGGTTCTACACTTATATATACATTATAGTGAATCAAATAGTGATATGAAAAACAAATAACATCGAATGAATAGTGATAATAACAATGGGTTATAGTTCGGTAGTATCAACATAACAATACACTGAATACCACAGGAATTAGGAAAGATAATATTATAAATTCATGAATTTATAGACTCTGCTGAAAGACAGGCCAGAAGTAGGGGCTGGAGTTTCTTCTTCCAAACAGAGAGCACTGGTTTTTTGAGGCGAATATCTAAAATAGCCAAAGATATTCCATTGACACTAGTGATCACTCTTGAATTATTAATATATATGAAGAGACGCATTCTGGAAGACAGTTGTATTTGTGGGAGCTTCTGTGGCATTTTATGTATTTCGGAGGATAAAATATGGTGAATATTTCTGAAAAAGCCCAAAACTAACGTCATTTGTTTTGGAGAAGAAGGAAAACACGGAGATTTAGACACTCCCTGTCCAAGTGACCTTCCTGTAGACAGGTCAATAAATTTACAGTACTGTCGGAGATTTATCCGTTCATCTTGTATTAGCAAATAATCGTCATTTTTGTCAAGGTATTTAACAGTAGAGCAATCAGCTCAGCGGGAATTCCTGTGTCATATGGCGAACTGTCACAAATGATAACATATATATATATATATACATTGATACAGACATATGCCGGCTAACCATAAGTTCAACAATTCCCTGCAAATTAATATGACATTGAAGAAGCAGCTGATTGTATTCCCCTGTGGAAATCTGCAATCGGAAATCGGTGTACGAAATCGAATCGACAGGTAGTGAAGGTATAATAACAGTAGTTAGTCTAGTGAAAGCTCTCAGAGTATCAGTTGGTATAACTAATGTGCAAACGGCGCATCTATTACAGACAAATATATATGTCCCTATGAAATTGGAAGAAGTCGTCTCATCCTGCAAGGACTGTCGCCATGCCACTATAAACAGAAGCTGGAATGGGGTTAAGATACAACTTATAACGTAAGAGTCGTACATATGAACAGGTGTAGAGAGAACATATCAGCTAACTCTGTGTCGGTCAAAATAGAGTGCGTGGAGTGTAGTTGGTAGTTATTCATAAAAATTGGAAAAACAGAAATAACTTCATCTAACACTAATAAACTAGCCGTCATATATATCAGGAAGTAGTGAAGGCATGGAGAAAAGAAAAACAGTAGCAATTAAAAGTGAGATATAGTCAGAATATCAAAATGATTCAAAGTGGACACAGAGTAGCATGAATTGCCTAGGAGTCTGGATATCTGATAAAATGCAAAGAATATACTTGAGAAACTATATATATCCTATACATGAAAAGGCATGCAGATTGATTTTCAGATTATGAAGTTATGTGATTGTTATCTGAATCGCACATCTGGCCATACGAAAATGCAAATTGGTGAACATGGTGACATGCAGCACTATAATTAGCTAATGGTGAAGGTCTCATAAGACAACACAGGTCTCGATTTCTCTATTCAAAAGTTCTTGTGTGTAAAGCAGGTTTCATTGAGTGCCATTCTACATGTGTGTTCAGCGACCAGACTCCAGTGATCACTTTTGAATGATGAAGAAATAGGGAAACCCATTCAGGGAGCTTGTGGAATTTTCGAAGCTAATTGCCTGAAACTTTTGTAGTTTCGTATAGATTTAGGAAGATAGTTATTATCAAATAATATTTATTAATTTCTCAGCTCTACAGCAGTGGGATCCTTCGTGTGTACGTAGTGGGTATTTCAGGAAAGGCGCTAAACTGGCGTCTCTGTACTATGGAGAGGACGAAAAACATGGCGCTGTAGATACTTACTGTCCATGTGAGCTCCCTGTACACAGATCACTAAATTTACAGACCATTGGATCGGGTCCCAGTGGCTCAATGGTCTACGAGCTCGCCTTGTAACCAGAAGGTCCTGGGTTCGAATCCTGGTGGGTGCGTACTGCTGAGGAGTCCCAAACTAGGACGAAACGGCTGTCCAGTACTCCCAGGTTTTCCAGTGGTTCTCTAACTGATGTCAGCTCATGATTAAATCCTCCATGCAATCAAACAAAATCCCTACAAAAACCAATACTTGAAAATTTGTAAAATAGTCGTTATTCCCGTCAAGTTGTTGAACGATATATGAATAATCTCGACGGAAATTGAAGTGCCATATGACAAACTGTCACAAATGACATCATAACAAAACCTATGCACATCTTATGGAGAAGAAAATTTCCAATCAGTGTCCTTATTTCAGTTCTCAGATATGTAAGTGTATAGATACTCACATATGCCGGCTAACCATAATTTTAACAATACTCTCAGGAATTTCTGTGACATGAAATAAATCAGCTGTTTGTATAAATCTATGGAAACTGGAAATCAGAAATCGGTGTCCGAAATTCAATCATCACATCAAATGTCTCTGCTCTCTGGCAATGATTCATTCGGAAATAAATGATCAGCATGATTCGACCATATGGTTTCATGTTTAATAAAGCCGCCAAGAAGGAATTATGTTAAACCAAAAGTATGTTTCAAAACAAAGCTCCAAAACACCTTTCTCCTATAACCTTTGATGTATTCACGAACGACTTCTCGAGCTTATACATTACTGATACACATCTTTACATAATTCAACAAGGGGCGAGTTCCCGTTTACGGCCAACTCGTAAGACTCAGAATGAAGCAGTCTAGTCTCACTCAAACGACTGACCAAATGTCACGTCATCCTATACATCACTAATGTTTCCGTATTGCACAGTTTCGATAGAAATCCTGATTGTCATCGAAAGTGGAGCAAAGCGAGTTGTTCCGTGGAGACGCCATTTCAAGTGAATTCATTTTTCCCTTCACCTGTACAATGCTTTTTAAACACCGTTTATTCACAAAGTATAGTAGTAATAAATATGCTGAGTTGTGATAATCATTGTCGTAAATAGCAATCAGTGCTTGATGTGATTTGAATGAATGTGTTAAAGCAAAGTGACAAGATGAATACTTAATTGCATGAGTGGCTATCAGGATTTTCTCGAAGTAAATCAGATTACGAACGAAATGCAGAAATGAATTTAGAAATCAACCACATTGTCAAGCAGAATCGATTGCTTCCCATTCAGACCTGTGGTTTATACGTCTCTGTGGTTAGAGCCTTAGAAATGCGAAGACGAGGACATACACGAAAGAAGGATAACTCAAGGGTGACTAGGTTGTAGAAGAAATATTTACACATATTCAGTTCTGAATTACTACTATTATTAATAGCAAAATCAACAGTATTGCTACTATTACGAATAATAATAATAATGTTAGTAGTAAAATGAAATGGTGCACAATTATCCCACTCTTTGTGCCAACTCTCCCACAATTAAGCAATCACGTTCAATAGCGTACTTGAATAACTTTGAAGCGAAATAATCCAACAATGTGACTGATTCCATTGATGAAATAGGTGAACGGATGAAAGAAGTACAAAATCGCTCATATCATCATTTACGCGCCTACACATCAGTCGGAGACTGGAGAGCACCAAAGATTTTTAGCTCAAACGGGAAGAATTTTACGTCAGTAGATGTTGAAATTAGTCCATTACAACATAACAACAAAGATTGACTCTCCCTCGAAATCGAGATTCACATTAAGACACGGTTTAAATGAAAGTAGAAATTCAATTTCAATGAACGTCTGATTTGATGCTCATGTAAATTCCTCATCGCGGGTATGAAACTTTGACGAATACTAGTGTACGAATTTCTAGTTGTTCATCTACAGTGATACGACTATACACAGGGATTCAATCAAGTAGATTATTCATTCAACATATAGCCAGGTGCAGGAAAATTGAAGCTGACTGTTCCATGGGGACTTTACAATGATTGGACTTCTGAAGATACCGCTCAATTTTCTGTTGCCTCCTCAGATTTTGTAAAGGATTGCATAGAATTCTTATCAGACGGGTGAACGTGAAAATGAACTCATAGAAATCAGATTTCTTATCAACAAAAATGACTGCATGACTATTATTCATATTATTTAAGAGACAGAACTTCGATGACAAATTTTTGTAAACACCACCTCCCTTCTTTTCACAACTTGTCATACTTACATGCGATTGTGCACTGTGAGAAAGACAGTGTTGAGGTATCTACACATTTGTCAATATGTAACTAGTTTGTCGAACTCACTGAGGCAATATAGTTCGTGAGTAAGACGAATATCCCAGAGACAATCATATTAGCCTGGTGATCGAGGTTGGGATTCAGTGAACCATGGGATGAGTGGACCAACGCACCACGACGCCAAACAGATTTCTGACAATTGTACACATCCGTATACACAAGAAACTGCGAAGGACAATCTAAGTGTGATTGGTTGAATCAGTTTACTTCAATACTGAGTATACACACCGGATAAATACTGCATCCAACGCATTATGCACTTCATACATATGTGATATATCAAACCAGAATAATACTACACAGAATTGTGAGCATCGATGAAAAACGCTACTGCATCATCGCGAAAGACTTGCAGTTTCTTACTAATTGATAGACACGAATGAACTGAAGTAGGGAAAAAAAGTAAAACAGCAACTCAGGATTCGTACAACATTCATTTATTCAGTATTCATATAAACAAACATGTCGATCGCGTCCATTTCAGTTGTCAAAACAGAGAAATACTAAATCTCCCTCTACAGAAAGCATCTAATTCTTCTTCGACTTCGCCTCCTTCGCCGCCTTGATGTCTTTCTTCACACTCTGAATCTTCGCGCCAATCTTCTTCAGATCAGGACGTTTGCAGGCACTGAAAGTGGAAAAACACACAATTAAAAATAAATCTATGAGTGATTGCAATGGGAACAAATCTAGCAATATGTATGAATATATCTGCTTAGAAATAGAGTGGAGTGACGAATTCGGATTAAAAAATAATAGCAATAAAACATACCGTGGACAATTCCACATGGCGATGTGTACAGTTTGTGGGTATTCGAAGGCAGAGACTAGTAGTCTGTGGATCATTCTGGTAACAAACGTGATGTGAATCGATGAATGAATGGGGGAAAAGCAACTCTCGGATTTACATTCCGAAATGCTTGTTTCATCGTGGTTGATTGTGTGGAGTGTTTGTGGAGTGTGCATATTCGATTTACTAATACAGAAATCACTAACGTCGTAGCAATATGTGAGGATGTTGGCACAGGTTGACTGACAGACAGGAAACTGTGGTCATATGAAAATATTCCTCTGAATAATTGCAAATCAAATCCTTTTCCATGTGCAACGTCATTCAATGACTGTAGTAGTCGTAGTCCGAATGATATACATCGAACAATCTTCAAGCATCAACAAAATATCGACCGATTGACGACGGAAACTAAACACATCACAGTCACCACTCCATGCAGGTACTGACAAAATCAGTCGGTATATTGATCACTGAATTATATCAAAACCAAAATACATATGAACTGTGAATGCAACATCATCGAATGATGCCCCACTCACGGATATCTGGTGAGTCACTGAGTCAAGAGTCGACAATCCAGATAGGAAACAAAACTGGAAACGTGTCACTTCAATCCTGAGAGGATGTGATGCTAGTGAGGCATATTATCGGATCAAATACGTGTTCGACAGTGTGTCATTTTGTGTATATGTGTGTTAGTCAATATCAAACTGAAAAACAAGACATGCAGCCATCAGTCATCAGCCACACCAAAACGTACATGTCCACCTGTCGAGTTCCCTTCTTCGCCGACGACTCTGCAGCAGTTGGCTTCGACAGATCGAAGTTTGTGACACACAGACCAGACCCCAGCTTCACCACTCCCTTCTCGTTCCTGCCAACAGTCAGTCCTCCAAACTTGATGTTCCATGATCCTGAAAGCAAAACACAAAAATTGATCATGATCACGATGACGATGAGCAGTGAGAAAGGATTCAATTTGACATTCAAAAAATTACCGCATCTTAATAGAAAATTGCTCCATCACCAGCCAAAAACATGACACTTTGGAGAGGTTATCCACTGTCATTCGAAATAAGCGACGTCAACACTCGTCACAGTTGTGAGTGTATTCATGAGGACTGGGATGAAATTCAGTGTCGTGAGAATCGCCCTTCTTATCAGACATGATGCAAGTGTGGTGTATATTCACACACACAAACTCCTCTCAAGTTCCGTTCATTCATCAAGACAATATGCATTCATCTATCGAGGACTCAATCCAGGGTGAATCACTTGGTAGAAGGCTAATTCATCATCACCTATACACTTGAACACTGCATCGTCACAAATCGTCTACACATTGATGTACCTGTGTGTGATGAGGGGGAATACTTTTGATAGTTTATCAAAGAGTTGGTTGTCATCTCATCAAAAAATCAGGCTGACATACGAATGAAAAGATGACAGGGAGAGGAGGTGCTATCCGGTAGTCATTTGTCCACATTCGATCAAAGTGTGTCTGCACCCAGTGGATCAATGATCCCTAAATCTTTGTCAATATTGCTGTATGGCAGAACGCGAGACAATATCATGAGTGAGGATTCTGCAGCACCCTGCTTATATCTGTGTGTCTGTATAAGTAAGTGCAAATGCATAACCATATCGTAAACACTGTTTTAGGATGTAATAATCATACGGTGACTGACGAGAGAATGATGAGGAAGAAAACAATCCATATGACTTACCATCCTCTTCGAAATTTAGTGGCAGTTTCTCGGACTTCTTGTAGGGTTTCATTTCGACGAGTTGTGGGAGGAGAACACAAGCCATGACAATGCAGAGCATCGAGAGGTGTGCCATTATCGGAAGTCTGTCAAAGGAGATGAAGTGAAAGAGTTCTCAGTTTAGGACAGAGAGCTCAACTAACGAATAAAAAAGGTTGGATGATGATAATGCTGTGAATCGTAAACGGTGTAGACGTCAACGCCACACATCAGGAAACAACTATACAACAAAACGTTGACAAGTTTCATGACCGACGAACCGCCCAGTATGAAATTGTATTCACGTAGTATGGTCGACGATATGGATGGAGAAGTGACTTGTTAGACACAAATGCGAGAGTGAAATGTGGAAATGAATTGCATAACTTACAATTTGTTTGTGGGTTACTGGGAAGTTGCATAGTGCTCCACTCATGCATGAATTTATATATGCATGTAAATGTGGGTCAATTGTTAATTTAGCTGTGAAGTGATCGGCTTTGTCACATCAATCGATTCTGCCTGCCAATATGTAATTATGATTGTATTAATCTTGTGATGTCAGATCATTAATTGACATTGACTGACCTCGACTAATGTATTACTGGCTGCAGTTGAACAGCATTGGATTAATTATCTACTCCAACGACTCTATCACATGGTGTTTCACCGATAATTTGATTCTTCATCCACGTATTTTCCAACTGAAGTGCATAATTCATCGAAGCAACACTGGTTGACATCACTGTTTCAGAAAATCAATCTTTTCCACATTATAATTCAGGTGGCGGAGAGCCCGCCGATAAAAAATACTGAAATGGTGTCAGCTTTATGATTCATGTCTGTCAAGACTGATGTGCATCGGCTTCTAGTTTGAGGACAGGTAGTAAATTATTCGGTCAATTATTAGTTCAGTTCTCTAGCGTTTTGTGAATTCAGACCACGCGGCTCCACCAGAGTTATACTTTGAGATTATTCACAAGGTTATAGGTTTCCGTTACAGTGTATGACGGAAGTGTTGCCAAATCATCAATAAAATCTCGACCTTGGTGTACGGAGAAAAAATGTTCAGTCTGTTAGTTTACTAATGTCTTAACGTCATCGCCAACTATTCACCTTATCATTGGTAATTAATTTACTATTATTGGCGGCCTGTTCGAATTTTTGGGCCAGCTATAGGAATTCTAACAGAATCATTTACTGTCGTAACTTTATCAATCATCTATGACCGAATGACTTTCATATTCCAAAGAAATCAAGGAGGAAACATCGTAGTGGTTGGCAGAGAGCTCTCAAATGTACACCAATACACTTAACTACGGTCCCCGTCATAATGAACACAAACTGTCGCTCTCTGCCTAACAAGAAAATCTACCTACAATCCTTGATGTCAACTAACACGTATCATAACAGCGCCATAATCACATTACAAGAAACGTAGTTACATGAACTGTATGATTACAATCTTATCTCACTAAAGGACTTCTTTTTATTTCGACAAGACCGTCAATGTTGTAATAAGAAAAATGGTGGTGGCGTTACAACTTTTATTCACTCCAAATGGTCTGTCTCAAATAACGTCTGCTTCACCTTCTCAAATGACTTCATTGACTGTATTACTATCAAATGTCGTCCCAAACATCTCCCCAAATATAAACAAATCTATATTACAAACATGTACATTTCTTCTAGCTGCCCTCCGTCTGATCTATCTAATTTTGCCGATGAATTCACCATGTTTGCTGCCGCAAAATTCGACAACTGTCTGTCCGTTATTACTAGGGATTTCAACTCCTCAGACTGCTCCTTTCTTGAAGCACTTGGTCACACAAACAAAGTAAAATATCCCACTCGACTTGACAAAACACTCGATCTACTTTTTACTAATGACGAAGTAATATATGAAACATGTAGACGTTCACCGATACTTAAATCCAATCACTTTGTTTTCCGTATTTTACACCAAAACACATATTAAAGTGTTCTCACAACTGTCTATGAAAGCACAACAAAGAAGCTACACATCTGACATCCTACTCAATCTAAGATGCATGTTAAAAATACTAACTGGGATTTATTCTATGAAAGTACATTAGACGACTCAATCACCAATATAATGGATTATCTCAAGTTCTGCCTTGACATGTGCTGTCCCAAACAAACACTATTCAAACGCCTCGACCGCTTCTTGTCTCCTCATCTCAAACAACTTCGCAGGCAAAAAGAAACATCATATAAACTCAAAGAAAATTTAGGACTTAAAAAGATTAATGCTCAAATCAAATCTGAAATCAAAAATCTTAATGCTATCTATAACCAAACACTTTTATCATGCAATCCTCCTTTCAGCATGTGGAAATTTTTCAATGAAATTACTGGCAATAGTAAGCGATGTAATGTTTTTCCCTCCTATTATGTTAATGCTCTTAATCAGTCTTTTATACGCTCTCCTTCTACTATAACCACTTCTAATGTTACTAATCATGTGTCTGATAACTTCCAGGACTTTAACACTCTCGATGTTTTGAAATGTCTTAAAACTCTTAAGCGCTCACATAGTCTTGGCCCTGATGGCATACCTGCATATATTCTAAAAGAATGTGCAGATGCTTTATGCTCTCCTCCAACTAATATCCTAAATGCTTCTTTCTCTGAAAACGTTGTACCTGTTCCATGGAAAGACATTAAAATAGTCCCTGTTTCTAAACCTGGCAATAGCAAGAACGTAAATTTCAGACCCATTGCCATCACTTCCCCCTTTCTAAAGCTTATGGGAAAACTAGTACTTCTTAAACTTGAACCCTCCCTTAAAATCTTCGAAGACCCCAAACAATTTTCCTACAGACAGGGTAGGAGTACTTTAGACGCTGCAGCCGTCTTACACAATAGTATCGTCCCATCATTAGATAAAGGGCCCAAATATGTCCGCTGCACGTTTCTTGACTTTACTTCTGCTATCGACTCTTTACCTAGATGTCTCTTGCTAAATAAGCTGTCCATGACACAAACCGAGTCCTGGGTCACTAACTGGCTGCATTCCTACTTTTCAAACAGAATGCAGTATACCGCATACAAAGGCAAATACTCCACTGCTGTGCTCACTAAAGTTGGTGTCCCCTAAAGTGCTGCACTCTCATCACTTCTATTTTCTTTCTTTCTACATGGCCCACCATCTTTTTTTTATTTTCCTGCACGTTCCCAGTGGAACATAGGGCTCCAAGCTAGATGCTTGAAATTTCTGTAGCAGTGGTGATTATTTTTACAGGATGGGGTTGCTAGCCCCACGCCAAACCTTTCCTCTTCACCAGTCTCACTACTGGCTTAGCGAGGTAAAGGAGTGGGCCGGCCGGGGATCAAATCCCGACCATGTGCATTGTCGGCGAGCGTCCTAACCGCTATGCCACCGACCTACCATCTTCAAATGACATTAATTTTGTTAAATATTCTGATGACCTAAGTGTATCTTTGCCTATCAAATGTCAAAGTGACTGCTCTAAACTAAACGCCTTTTTTAACAGAAATCAGTCAATGGTTCAAGGAAAACGGTCTCACCTTAAACCCCTCCAAATGCGAAACAGTTAATTTCACCTTTAGGCACAAATCTGACCTAAGCAAACTGGTTAGGACTCACGAGGTGTGCAACATAGATGACACTGAAATACAAACCAAGTTAGAAATTAAATACCTGGGCGTCATTCTCTCTGCTGATCTTTCCTGATCGTCTCATATCATGATGATTTTTAAGAAAATATTCCGTCTTACTTTCTACATCAAGAAATTAAGACATTCTGGCATAACTCTACCCTTACTCCTACAATTTGTCAATTCTTTCATCTAAACTTTTACTCTCTATTGTTCCCCTTTGGTTTTTCCTCGGCTACTGAAGAAAGACTATATATTATTACGCAGGATGTTAAAGATTGTCAGCAAAGTAAGCTATGTGCCACTTAGCCAGCTTGTTAATATTCTAGTTGACAGGCACATGGACTCATGTGAAAAATGGGCAAAATCCATTCTATCTAACTCACACCACCCTCTTCATTCGCAACTCTCCCCTTGTATCTCTTCAGGCAAAACCAGAATCCTGTATATGTACATATAAATATGCTCGCACTAATAAATACAAAAACTCAGCCATACCCTACTTAGCTCCTCTTCTGTGCGATTAGGAAAGCATTAGGTGTGTTACTTACTAAATAGTCAGTAGAACAAGTGGATCTCATCTTTCCAACTCATATCATTTTTAGGTACAACAATTTTTTTCTATCTTTTCCTTTTCTCTCTCTCTTTTTTCTGTTATGTGCAGCTTTGTTTCTTTCTTCTGCTTACGCCAGAACATATGCCAGAACCTAATTTTGTAACACCGTCAAACACTGTTTAATTTCGCCTTTGCTACGGACATGCTAATATGTTGTTGTGAAAACTAATTGAGGTTACCCTTAATCTATTTAGAATTTTATTTATTGATGATGTACTAACTGGATGCATTATTGTAGAAAAATGGTGAGAATTCCATTCTCTATCACAAGTGCTGTTTTGGAATAAATCTATGATCATTATTCATAATTATTATTAGTCTCACATGTTTCATTCGTAGATTTCCTTATCCTCTTCATACTTTTCAAGGGGAAAAAAATTACTTCTCATTCTATTATAATACAAACATTATGAAACATTATATGCTATCTTCCCATTTATTACTGAATATTCATTTATTTTTCATTTGATAATTTCATTTCGGAGACCACTTCTTAGAAAGATTGTCTGTGATGTCAACCCATAATGATTCACAAATAGACTACCTCACGATGGTGAGTCCTCTGAAGATGATATCGCCAACGAGCGATAGTTTCTTCATGGATTTATTTGTTAATATCTTCAAGAGTGAATGAGTCATTATGGTCTTAAATAAATTTCGTGACCACTTCACCCATTAGAGGAGATTTCATTATCGGAAAAAGTCGAAGCTATTCACAGGATGAAAAATGATACCTCAAATAACTTGATGAGAGAAATAACAAGACTGAAATAAGATGATCCGATTTCGATTTTGTTCAGAGTGAGAGACAGAAATAGACACAATCAAATATTCACAGTAAAATTATGCACTTCAGTTAGAAAAATACGTGGATGAAGAATCAAATTATCGGTGAAACACCATGTGATAGAGTCGATGGAGTAGATAATTATTCCAATACTGTTCAACTGCAGCCAGGAATACATTAGTCGTGGTCAGTTAATGTCAGTTAATGATCTGACATCACAAGATTAATACAATCATAATTACATATTGGCAGGCAGAATGAATTTTACAGGAGGGTTCAAGTTTAAGAAGTACTAGTTTTCCCATAAGCTTTAGAAAGGGGGAAGTGATGGCAATGGGTCTGAAATTTACGTTCTTGCTATTGCCAGGTTTAGAAACAGGGACTATTTTAA